GTTGGAAGCCTTTGACAAGATCTTCGACGGCAACCTGGCTGCGTCCAACGCTGAAGCGCAGGAAGAGCTCTTCCCGGACGGTGGAAAGGGCTCGTCCAGGCAGCCGCGAAGGCGCAAGGCCACCTCCTAAGTCGTACCGCTATGTCGGTTTTGATTGTTTTCCATTTATGTAATATCGAAACTAGAGGTCTTTTGCTAGGACGGTGGCTGTTTTAGGTAAGGATGGCAACGGATCGGGTTTGGGGCGGATATCCGTGGGTTTCGGGTTCTGCGGGTTCGGGTTTGGGGATGGTTTTTCACCCACGGTTTTCGGGTTCGGGGCCCCGAAACCAATCGGGTTCGGTTTCGGGTTTGGTTTTCCACCCGTGGATATCCAATGGATATCCAAAATAAATCATTTGAAATTAAAACTCATGTTTTATAATATACTAATAATAATTTGTTTACTTAGATTATTAAATTTATTTAAAGTTGACTCATAAAAATGTTTATTATTTGTTGCCTCTTATTTATACATGTGAATATGTGTATATATATCCGCGGGTTTTGGGTATCCATTCGAGTTTTGGGTATCCGTTTGGGTTTCGGGTATCCGCGGGTTTGGTTTTGGTGATGGATTTCCACCCGAATCGATTTTCGGGGCGGATTCGGGTTTCGATTTCGGGTTTCGGTTTTGGGTGCACAGAGACTCCACCCGATCCGAACCTGACCCGTTGCCATCCTTAGTTTTAGGTCGACCTCTTTCGGCGCTCGATAGAGATGCGTTGTCTATATGTTAAACTCTTCTTCTTCGTACAATGATATGTAAATTTTTTGTGTATTCGAGAAAAAAAATCGGTGGTATGAGGCGGTGGATGGGCACCGTGGTGTCGAGCATGTTGAAGGCGTGCGTGTCTAGTCAGCAGGGTCTTGTTTAGATTGGGGTTAGAAATCAGTATTTGGCACTGTAGCACTTTCGTTTGTATTTGACAATTATTGTCCAATCATGGTCTAACTAGGCTCAAAAGATTCGTCTCGTAATTTACAATTAAACTGTGTAATTAGTTATTTTTTATCTACATTTAATACTCCATGTATGTGTCCAAAGATTTGATGTGATGAAGAGGAAGTGAAAAAACTTGCAATCTAAACAAGGCCCAGGTAGTAGTTGAAGGAGCTCGAGCTAGCATGCATGGATGCTGGTCACCCTACCTTCCAATATTGCCTGCTGTTCTACATTTTTCTCCGATGAAAACACACGAGCATAATTACTGTTATTAGCGTAATGATAGAAGTAAGACATACTGTATATATATTCTTTTCGGATCTGTCTATTTGGAACTTGTGTGATTTGACCCCCTCTGATAACTAAAGCAATTTGAGGGAACAAATCACACAAATGTTACCAAAAACAAAACCTGAGTGATTGAGGCCCTAGGGTCACACAAGTAATCCTAAAGGTCAAATCACTCAAAACTAACTAGAACCAAAATTCGAGTGAAACATGAGTTGAAATCACACGAATTTTGCGTTCTCTCGGAATACCTTCATGCACGATAAAAACAACAAGAATTTGCTAAATTATAAATACAAAAAAACTTGTAAATTAAATATTCAAAATAACAAGAACAAATGATACCGAAAAACAACTAAGAACCAAAAAATAATTGTTCTATGAATGAATCAAATAAATTAACTACTAAATTTTTTCACTTAGTATTACCTACGTCAATAATACATTGCGATTATACCTGATTAAACACTATAAGTATAGTTCAACTCTACTATAAATGAAAACATTAATTCACAGTCCATAAAAAAGTATATTTACCAAGAAGAAAGCAAGATGACAAGGAACAAACACATAATCAAAAAAATCAAAATTGCAAATAAAAAAACTAAGTGACATTTCAAAAAATAGAACAAAACATTAATTAATATAGGAAAAATAAACTTCAAACAACCTTTACACATTGCCAATTAGTGAGATCCAAGTAACTGGACACAACTATACAAGAAATGACTAATGGTTGAAACACAACTAGATCTAAAACTATATGAGGAACAAAAAGGCAAAATTTCAAAGAATACCTAAAGGCAGGAAGCCAACATTTCAGAACCTGCAAGACTTGAAACCAAATATAAAGGATACGCTATGTCAGCAAAAAGAAGAGAGAGGATAATTAGGATGATTTAGGAGTAGAGGAGTATCTCAGATTCTGAAAATTCACCGATGACACACAAAGACCATCAGCAACCACCCCCCGTCTCGGCCTCTGCCTGACCATCTCCACAACACAAATAGCAAGGAAGAAGAAAAACGATAACAACAACATAGAATCAAAACAACAACAGCCAAATGTACAACATCTAATAAAAAAACTGAATCAATGAAACAAAATCGACGCCGACCTACACCTCCACCTCCACATACCAGATAAACACGAAAACACAAAAAGGCAAAAATTGATTAATTGGAGCCTAATGGTCACCCAAGTAATCATACAGAACAAAACAAACGAAAAAACTATAAAACAAAATTCTGAGGCCATTGCAAGAACAAAAAAAATCAAAGAAAATTAACAAACTACAGAAAACAAAAAATTTCTATGGAATGCAAAAAACAAAAACTTTCTTAGGCCATTGGATGAACCAAACATATCAAATAAAATAAACAAAATACAAAAAACAGAAAATTTCTATGGACTGCGAATACCAAAAACAATATGAGAGCATTGCATGAAACAAACAAAACAAAAAATATACAAAGTACAAAAAAGCAAAAATTTTCTATGGAATGAAAAAAACCCCGATTTTGACGGCTTTGGATCAAACAAACAAATCAAAGTACATACAATGCAATAAAACTATGAGACACACATGTGCCTAATAAACTTTTCCAACTTGTATTACATACATTCATAATACATATCAATTACACCTGATTAAGGACTGTAAGTATAGTTGAAATGTAGTGTAAATGAAAAAAATTAATTCATAGTCTATATGATAATATATAGTACTAGTATACTATGTATTACTGTACTAGTCCTAGGCAGGTAATTGATAGTCAGCTCACGAAAGCAGCGACCATCCCAATGACCAACGAACGAGTCTAGCTACCAATCCTCGCCCTGGATTTGAGCCGAGCGTCCGGTGGAGCGGCAGCGGAAAAGAGGCCCTGGATTCATCACGCGTGAAACAATTTTGTCGCGTGATGAGACTCAAATTTCAAAAAATAGAAAACCCTTCAATACGATGTCAGATGAAGATAATTTTTATATGTAAATTGTAGACCTCGATGAGATCTACAACTTTATAGTTTTAATTTTTTTTATTTGAGGACAGTAAGATGCTCGAAAAAATAATATAAAATTTCAGCACCATATTTTATCGTGTGATGAGACTCAAATTTCAAAAAATAGAAAACCCTTCAATACGATGTCGGATGAAGATAATTTTTATATTTAAACTGTAGACTTCGATGAGATCTACAACTTTGTAGTTTTGAGTTTTTTCATTTGAGGACGCTAAGATGCTCGAAAAAATAATATAAAATTTCGGCGCATCCGAAAATATCAAAAGTTACTGTTCACCCGCACAACCGCCCAGAAGGTTGAAAGTTGAACTTTTTCGAGAGTTGGAGGGTCAAAGTTGTCCGGTTTTGAAGTTCGAGGTTGAAATTCGGACTTTGATGAAAGTTGGAGGGTGTAAATTGGACTTTACCCTTATTTTTACACTTAAGCTATTGAAAACCAGACACCTAGTAGTTGTTTTGTAGACGGTTTTGCACTTTTGCTTATGTGGTGGTCCTAGAGGGCATTAGATGCCACTGTGGCGTGAGAGAACATGTTTTTTTGGACAACGTGGCACTCGATCTGCAAAGGCCATTGCATCGCCACTATGCTGTCGTGCTGCATTGCTTGCCCAAAGTAGCTCGCCCAATCGCCCGACACCGCTCGCCTCGCTCCGTGGCTCCGAAGAGGGTCAGGGCATAGCCCCAACTCGACTCATGCTATTGTGTTTGGCGACGCACATCAACAACATCCAAAAGAAGGCAGTTCCTATACAACTGCACACCACGGTCCCACCATTCTACCAAACTAAGAAATAGTTCTCAATTATGCACATTTTTTTTTAGAATTACACAGTACAACGTAGACGCCCACAACACCCACACACACTCACTCCTATGAACATCTTTCATTAGCACAAATCCTTTAATCTCCTTGGTCAGGACAGACATGCAAGAGTGCTGCGTCGGCGGAGTGTGTGTCTTGTGGCTTGGAGTCCCCACATATGGACGCCGAGAGTGCTGGTGTGCATAAGGTTTGAGCCTTTGAGGACTCGGATGTACGGAGTAGCGGGAAGCTGCTGCTCGAGTGCATAATGGGAAGCTGCTGAAGTGCAGGTTGGGATCAATAAAAATGGGTACGAAGAAAAGACTTTACTTGGTTTGTAACTCTCTTTATATTAACATATATATAGATAACCACGGAGAATGAATTCCTTTGTTGAGAATAAAATAAGGAATATTCTTCTGCTAGGAGTACAACATACGATTGAAACATATGTTGTGATCATAGTACAAATCCTGTTCGCCTATATATATAAGTATAAAAAGCAGTGCACATCCACATTCAGTCATGGAACAAAGTTCGGTTGCATGATGAATTATATGTATATAGCGTGATCGTTGAATAAATCTCCGAACTATAAGTTGTTCAAGTGACCAACAAGCTTAGATTAGATCAATTGCAGTTGAAACACAGGCATGATTTGCTATATCTCTTATATTCTTTTTAGATCAAAGACATTCGCCCGGCTTTATTGAAAGCTTACCGAAGCCCAAGATCCTGCGCTGGGGATAGCAGCTTTACAGAACAGCACAAAAGTATCATCTAACCACCACCTCTCTTAACGGCTAAAGTCTATGACAGCAACACCTCTCACATACTTCTAAACAGCTTGACAGAGTTTCAACAGCAAAACAAAACAGCGTGGCTTAGCGGAACAACCAATTACATAGCAGCAGCACTAGCAGAAACTAGGCTGATCATATCATCCACTAAGGGCTTCAGCTTTGGTTTCAATAGGGGACGCCAGGTCTTCACGAGCATCAACGTCTTGTAGACAATCGCCACCGGAGATGCCACCGTCTTCTTGTTGAACACCACGTCATTACGAGCCTTCCATATCGTCCACATCGCACCTGCACATAAAAATAGCGTCACCTGCTGTTTCTTACCTCTGCAATTTTCCACGACCTCTAGAAAAAGTGATGAACAACTAGTCGCCGATGCCGGCCACCCCAAGCAATCGTGTAAACAGGACCAGAGAACACACAGCAAGATGACATTGGAACAGGATGTGATATGACGTTTCAAGCTTTCCACAAACAAAACACTCTTCAGGCCCTGTCCACTTCTTCTTTTTCAATTGGACACCGCACTGTATCCGTTCGTGCACAGCCATCCATAGGAAAATCTTAACCTTAAGAGGAATATTACATCTCCATATATTCATCGTCTGCATCTCCCGAACACCTCCAGTTGTCATCAACTTATATAGTGATCGAGTTGAGTATTTACGAGAGCGTTCAAGTCCCCAATACACCTCGTCTGTTCCTCTGTCAATGATACCTCACTTAGCAGTCCCTGCAGACATCTCCATTCCTCCCTTAAACCTTCATTCAGTTGCCTTCTGAAATCGATATGCCACCGACACCCCCACACACACACAAACAAACTTTACTCACCACTAGGTCAGGGAGGGACGCAATCTGAAACAAATTGGGAAATCTTAATTTTCAGAGCGCAATTACCCAGCCAACAATCATGCCAAAACCTTGTTTGCCGCCCGGCCCTGACCTTAATCATGCGGCCCTGTTGATACCAATATCTCACATCAAGCAGAGATCTACAAAACTGTGAACCTTTTCGATTTTTGATCTGGTAGATACTTTTATCCCCCAAATATTTATTCCTTAGTATAGTACAACACAAACCAGTATCACCCCTCTCAATTCTATCTATCTATTTGACTGACAGGCAAGTGTTCATAACTCTAACATCCATAAACCCCAACCCTCCATATTCTTTCGGTCTACTCAAAGCTTCCCACTTTATCATGTGATACTTCCTCTCCTTGTTAGTCCCCTGCCAAAAGAATCTCGATCTAATAGTGTCTAAGGGCCTGTTCGCTTGAACTTATCAGCTAAAATCTACAGTATTTTTCTCTCACAACAAAGCAGCTTCAGCCAGCTTATCAGCCGGCTTTAATACCAGCCGAACAGGCTCTAAGGCCTGAAAGTTCCCCTTGTACAGCTGATACACTCCCATAGTGTACAGTGGGATGCTTGACAGACACGAGTCAATAAGAGTTGATTTTCATCCAGATGACACATAATCACATCGCCAAGTTCCCAGTCTTTTCTCTGTCTTCTCACATACATAACTCAACTGAAGTTTGGAAATTTTGTAAGTACTCACGGGCGTACCCACGTATTTCATGGGAAAAGAACCAGATTTGCAACCCAAGATATCAACTGCCAGGCTTCGGTCTGCATCTGAGAGGCCAACAGAAAACACCTCACTTTTTTCAAAGTTAATCTTCATTCCAGACATAACCTCATAGCATGAGAGAATCATCCTAACATTTCTCAGGTTTTCTGGACTAAATTGGAGTAGCAGAATTGTATCATCTGCATATTGCAAATGTGTCAACCCCCTTCAAATAAATGGGGAATCACCCCCTGGATAACTCCAGCTGAACTAGCTCTAGAGAGCATGGCAAAGAGGGCATCAGCAACTAAATTAAACAGCAAAGGGGATAGAGGGTCCCCCTGTCTTAAGCCTTTGAAACTTTTAAAGAACTCACTTCTCACTCCATTGATGTCAATACAAACTCTACCCCCTCTGACCGCTTTGTTTATCCATTGGATCCATTTATCATCGAAACCTTTTCTGCTAAGAACCTCCTCTAGGAAATTCCAATTAACCTTATCATATGCCTTCTCAAAATCTAATTTCATGATTAGCCCAGGTGACTTTGTAACTCTCAACTCATGTAAAACTTCTTGGAGTATAACCACCCCTTCAAGAATGTTTCTTCCAGGGATAAATGCCGTTTGATATGGACTGATAACCTTTCCTACCACTTCTGTCAACCTCAGAGTCAAAGTCTTGGTAATAATTTTGTTTATCACATTCAGGAGACAGATGGGTCTGAATTTCTTAATGGTGGTAGCTGGTTTGACCTTTGGCAGCAGAATAATCACACCATAGTTCAATCTCCATAACTCTAGCTGTCCCTCATATAGTTTATCCAACATTTCTTTGATATCTTCTCTTATAAGTGGCCAAAAAGCTTTGTAAAATTCCACTGAGAACCCATCTGGCCCAAGAGCAGTATTGCTCTTCATTTCCGTTATGACAATGTCTAGTTCAGCTAGAGAGAAAGGCTTTGTTAAGAACTCATTGTCCGACTGTTGAATCTATTGACTGCTAGGCCACATATCCATATTCAGATGCATATCAGCCACTTCTTCCATGCCAAACAACTGTTTATAATAACCAGTGATATGATCTCTAAGAATCTGGGAATCCAACATCTCTTGACCATCTACCTCGAGCATTGAAATCTGCATTTTCCTTCTTCTCCCGTTCGCACACTTGTGGAAATAACTGGTATTGGCATCCCCTGCCAGCAGCCATTTTTCACCACCCCTTCTTTGCCATTGCATCTCTTCATCTGACAAGATTTGTTGAAAAGTTTTCTCTAAATCATATCTTTCATCCCATTCCTCATGAGATAGTTCTCTGTAATCATTAATTTCGTCAAGAATGGAAATCTTTCTCAAAGTTTCCTGCTTGACTTTCCTCTGTTGACTGTCCACATTTTGCCCCCATCCCTTAATTGCATGCCTCAGCTTACCTGACACAACATGCCAATGATCCAAAGGGTCAAACTTATATCTGACAGGCCACTTATCTCTCACCCACTCTACGAAGCCCTCCTGATTTAGCCAGTGAGCATTGAACCTAAAGTAACACTGTTGTACTTGAGTGCTGACACCAGTATCAACGATCAATGGATTATGATCAGATCCGAGTCTGGGGACCGTCATGACAGAAACCAGATTAAACTTATCTTCCCAAGGGTTGGATACCAGAACTCTATCATGGACGCACATGATCGGGGGATTCTGTTTGTTAGTCCAGGTATATCTGCCGCCTGATCTATGCAGTTCACGGAGAGAAGTGTCATTAATCATACTATTAAAGGCATCCATTAAGTGAGCATCTACGTTGCCTGATGATTTCTCTTCAGCTTTCCTTACCAAATTAAAATCCCCTCCTAACATCATCGGACAATCAGTCTCTACACTTTCGACTGTAATCCTGCTAAGAACTCTAATTTCCTCTCATCATGAGCCGGCCCATATACGTATACCAACATCCATTGGAACCCATCAGCTTTCATTGTGAAATTAAAGCTCTAAAAGAATGATCCTGAGTCTCCTTCAGTAACTGTAGCCAACTCCTTATCAACCCCCATGAGTAAACCACCAGAATGTCCTAAACATGGCAGCCATGACCAAAACATGTTCTTTTGGCCTGTGAATCTCTCTAACTCCCTCTGTTGAAAAGAAGATTTAATAGTCTCCTGCAAGCAAATACAATCAAAAGAGTGCTTGTTTACTAACTCTACTAGTAACTTTCTTCTACCAGCATTCCCCAACCCTCTCACATTCCAGAATAAGATCATCCCTGATCAACTGGTAATAAATTAATATCCTCATTGGCTCTGTCCCCTATAAACTCTAATTCAGGGGAATGTAAAAACATAGAACTCTCATTTACAGGAATATCTCTATCACCCTGCACCGTTGCATTCTCCGAACTCTCATTCAATTTTTGCTTTGTATTTATCAACGCTTGAATAGCATCCTCTTTTGCTTGTATGAGTGAAATATTAGCAATTCTGGTAGTCTCCTCTTGTCCCAAAGAGAAACCACACACACTAGCCATCATCTCTAAAGAACAAACAGATGAAGGAGGAGGGATTAGAGAGGAAGATGTTCCTTTCAGACCAGCTCTTCTTGCCACTGCTTTGTTTTGTATGAATACTTCCTTCTCCTGAATTCTATCTTTCATCCATCCTTCTAACACTACCAGAGACACGAAAATTCCTGATAGCCAAAAACCGTTAGGAATGGCCAGTAAACCGTCAGCAAATAGTCTCTTGATGGATAGCTCCTGACGGTTCAGGTTTGACTGGCCAAGTTCAGCTCATGTCAGTGTAACCATCAGGAAAACACCCTGACAGGAATCATGCATTTTTCCTGTCATTCCAAGCCGGCAGGAAAAGGTAACCAGGCCATCAGGATTTGACCGTACCAGATCTATCCCATACTACCACCAATATAACCGATATTTGAGCACTATAATATTTATACATCCACTCAAATAATATTAGACATTCACTTTAACACAAATGATCACAAGCATATAATTAATCATAGATTCTCAAGCCAACCAAATCCAGATTGCACTTGTCACTAGAAATTCATTGTTCACCACACAAGGAACATGACAGCTTCTATACTAAGATAAGATTACAAGTTCAGTAGACTACATGACTAAAAGGTCCTAATGGCTAGAGGGGTGAATAGCCTATTAAAAAATTCTACAACAACATTTAAGCCAAGTGGTTAGACAATTATGAAGCGAACCAAGTGTTGCGATAGCCTACTAAAAATGCAAGCCTCCTATCCACAATTCTAGTTATCTATGATATCTATGTCACACAAGAGGCTAAGTCACTATTCTCTAAGTTAGTGAGCTCTCAAAGACTAACTAAAGAGCCTCACTAACCAAATTAGACAAGACACAAGCTAGCTCTCAAAACTAGCTACACTAGGAATGTAAATACACAAGAGGTATTGAGTTATACCGCCGTGGCAAGAGATGATCAGTCAATCATAAGAAATCTCGGAGACAATGATGACACAATGATTTTTCCTCCGAGGTTCACTTGCTTGCTGGCAACCTAGTCCCCGTTGTGGCGATTCACTCACTTGGTGGCTCACGCGCTAATAGGCATCACACGTCTAACCCGCAACTGGGTGCCACAGACCCAATACAAGATGAGGATCACACAAGCCACGCGCAATCCACTATAGTTGCCTTTCGTGACTTCCCAC